ACCCAAGAACATAGCAAATTATACCAACCAAATCAACCTTCTAACTTTCATAATTCATTATGGCACTAATAAAATTCTTACTCAACTCAATTTTTTTTTCCTTTATTTATGAGAATCCCAAACAATATTTCACAGAATCTATGATTTCTAACTTTTATTCCCCAAGAAATCATTTCAATTTAACCGCCTAACATTTCTCAATTAATAGACTAACCACACTTTCACACATTACTTAGAAATCAACAACCTTATAAATCGCCATTTAACTAGTAAGATGTAGTTACTTCTCTTCATTCACTCGAATGAGTTCAAGTTTGTATACTTGAAATTCTAGAATCTGTCCTCAGAGACTCAGAGTTGACACCTTCCAAAGATCTCTCAAAATTTTCAATATTGATTTACTTTGCCTTGTGAAGATCTCTGAGTCACATTAATGCTAAATCTTCTGCCGAGGTATATATTACTCCCAATTACTTCACAAGGTTTAAATTGCCTTTCAATTCAAATAAGGGTAATACTAGTATTTTAAAAATATAAGAACATGGCCAACGCTGACCCTTGAAAATGAAGGTCTGTGTAACAAGGTTTCATTTTTAGAGGAAGTCAAAATAATTTTGAAATAGGAAAAACTTGTATAATTATGGCAAACCTCAAGCGGGTCAGTGTAAAGTTCATCGAACATCGTAAACGAAGTTTTTAATATAGCATCCTTTTACCCTGGTTAAATGTAAACCCCAACTATACATTCAGGTGTGTTCGGCTATATGGAATTGGAGTTTTGGAATTAGAATTTGTGAAATTTGAAAAAAATTTGACTCAATTTTCTTACTTATTTTTTTCAAATTTCACGAATTTCATTTCTAAAGTTCCAATTCCATGTAACCGAACACAGCTTAAGATAAGTCAAACCATCATTTAAGAATTGATAAGCCTACACTCCAAATTGATATTCATGTATGTTCTACCATACTTAATTCCACAAGTAGATTCCATTCCATAGTTCTAATTGTGCACTCAAATATTTAACAAAGCTGGTGATTAAGTTTATATTCAAACATTACTTCAGCTTCACAACTTATCTTGAACAAATCTTTACTAAACTATCAATTAACTTAAACTCGGCATTTACCACATTGTCCTCAAATCAAATAATCGTCTCTCTTTCCAAGGCCACAATCCAGCAGAAAAGTTCTAACATGCAATTTCTATTGCATTCCTAAATACATGTAGAATTCTTGCTACTTGAGGAAATCATACCTTTAAGCCTCAAATTGATAGAAGGAATGCGACTACAATTTGATAGACTGCACTATGATTCAACAAGCTAAGGATCTAGTAAAATATTGAAATGCCAATAAACCAGTTGGAGCCATGTGAAAGTTTTCTTTTTTTGTTTAAAAGGTGCTTTAGTCATGTGAAAGTTGTCTACAAAAATCACATGAATTATGAAAATTTTAATTTATTTATTATTACATAAAAGGTTGCTTATTAGGCTTAAACATTGCCAGCAATCTCCCCTTTTATTTTTGTTTTGAGTTAAAAGTTGAAAAAAAAAAAAAAAGAAACATAGAAAAAAATTGAATTCAGTTTGCTGATTTTGTTACTCACAAAAGAGTTTGTCAAGAACTAAAAAAAAGAAAATTGTTTTCGATATAAACGACAGTTTTTGGAATTCAGTTTATATTTTTTAAACTTAGTTTTTTGAAATATTTCTATTCCATAAATACCATGTCTACATTTTTATTTTATTTTTTCTTTCCTTTTTCTGTTTTAATTGTCTTGAGGCTAGTTTTTGATCAAATTCATTAACAATTTGTGAATGTATATATTACAAATTTACAATTATCAACCTCTAAAAAAATAATAATAATAACAGTTATCATATACAATTATTGAGATCAACTTTTATGCTTTTAAAAAAGATTTTGCAAACGTCCAGAGTACTGAACTCACCGCAAATTTTTAACCACCAATATATTTGGGGAATACTCTAAATTTCTATAGTTGTAGTAAATATGCTAGATATTGTTTTGAATTATTCTAGAACCGTTGGCTTCAAGACACTTGAGATTATTTCAGCAGTTGGTTGTAAGGCCTTCTCACTATAAATATAACAATAATTCAAGCTTTTCTCATTGACACACACTCCTTTGCACCCTTGAGTAATTGTCCACTATTATTGATAAGAAAAACTCACCCGTTACAAATTTTATTAAATCAAGTTATGATTCAACTTCGTACGAAGAACTTAAAGACACGCATGTTGGGTCATTTTTGCTTGTGTTTTTTCATATTAGAGGATATATAAAAGAAGTAATTTACACGATATAGAAAACTTCCTAAACTAAAGAATTCTAAAAAATAAATTACAATATATCAATCACTATGAATTATTGCTACTTAAAAAAATCATACACTAAAGCGTCAAATATAATTCACAATCAAATCTCCAATGCATCTAAACTCCCAAAGAATCTACAACCCCAAGCATGAGTGAATCACCAGTGTGTCAATGAAAACCGTTTACAAATCAATAACCACAATAGAAGATTTTAATTAATCATGGCTCCGAATCAAAAGTGCACTAAAGCATCAAGCATCTATAAGTCCTTCGCATACATACTACAAAGGAGTGTACAACACAAAAAGAGATATACAAGTCATAATTTCAATTCTTACATATTCCAAAACAATATATAATACAATGGCAGCCACAAATAAGTAAATAACAACTATCTAGGCTCATGCTCCCAAATAATATAGCCTAATGTAACAAGGACCATTTATCCCATATTGAAATGCAGTGGAAAGTGACCGGGTATAAATAGGTGGATATGCAACACTACCCCATAAATCAAGTTTTTGGATAAATGGGTAAACATCCACCCGTTACAGTTGGTATCAGAACCAGACCCAACCCTTAAGTGTCACCCCAAACGCCCGACCCGGAAGGCGTCTAGGTGAGCACCCCTGATAGGCAGGGTGGCCAGAGCCGCAATGGAGTTTGGGGGCAGAGAATGTAATAAGAGTCATTTGTCCTACATCAGAATTGGATGGAAAAGTGATTGGGTATAAATGTAATTTTTGGATAAATAAACAAGTGCTCACACGTGAAAATGTTTTTTATAAAAAAAAGGTGAGCTACAAGAGCCCTAGTAGGTTTCCATATATGTTGAAAAATCAATAACTTTCAAAAAGTTGGAAAATAGATTTATCTTTTCAACGGTGATGGAAAAGAACTTCCTTGCTATACAAGAAAAGGAACTCAACAACTGGGGTAAGATGGGCAGAATAATCATGACAAGGAAACAAATAGGGAGTCAATTAAAAATCCATTTCCATTTCACCAGTTATAACATAATTTTCACAGAGCCAAAATTGTCCATAATTTTCATCTTTTCATAAGCATCTAGATCCATGTATTTACCAACCAATGGTGGTGCTCCAAGAGGAATACACCGGCCAACCTGTCGCACCGGCATGGCCCTAACCCTCAATGAATCTATCGGTGGTCAAACCACTGGCCATGTGATTTCAGGTCATTTACCCAAACAAATGGGGTGGTTCTCCGAGAGAAACCCACCGGCCAACCTTTCGAACCGGCGTGGCTCCACCCCTCAATTTTTCAAACCATTAAAGATCTGCTCTCCAAATCCAATTCCAAAGTGTGGAAACAATATTTTTTCCAACCAGTTTTCTCCACAGCTCATGTTTGAAATTCACTAAAAATCAACATTTCATATAATTTTTAAATAGACTAAAATTAGGGAGAACATCAACATCTCTATTTTCATTTCTTAAAATTTCATCCTCCAAATCAAATCATAGATATGAAATGAAATTAATCAAAATTACTGCTTTCCAAACTCATAAAAATTTCTGGAAAAGCATGTCAACTTTAAGATTCACCAAAAATAGAATTTTAACTCAATCGACATGAAACCAGTACCATTTGAATGTTTAAATAATTTTTCAATTTACAATTACTTACATGAACCCTCTATTTTTATACTATCAATTTACTTTAATAATTTTTCTTTCCGATTAAATCACATTTGAAGAAAAAAAAAATAGAAAAAATTCTGCTCACAAAACAGATTTCACAGCAGGTCATCATCAACTTCAAAAATCCATAATAATTTCAAAACTCAACCAATTGAGCCAAATAAAAATCTGTAAACTCATTAACAACTGCACTCTCATATCCCAAAATTTAATTTAAAAATAACAATTCAAAATATAGAAATTTCAGCCCTAAAACCATACTGTTCAGTTCAACTTTTCCCAGCACAAGAATTCAACTCAAATTTAACAATTCTTTCAACTAATTTCATGCTTATCAAAATGAATCGACAACATAAATCCACATTTCACATAACAAGAAACATGTATTTCGAATTTTAATAAATAAATCAATAAGTTCAAAAGTTGAGAAGGTTTGGAAACCTACTTGTTGGGCTTTATTTTGAATTTCTCCAAGATTTCCATTTTATTTTCTTCATCTTTCTCTACCGTGGCCAGATCTAATCTTTCTTCTCCTTCTTCTTCTTCTTCTCTGCTCTAAACGTATGAAATGAAAACCCTTCTTCTCTCTGCTCTAAACGCATGAAATGAAAACCCAAAGCTGAAGTGTTATGGTGTGGAGTGGAGGGGTTATGGTCATAGAAAGCCACTATAAGAACTCTCTAATATCCCACAACCACCACAACTCACAAAAGATAAGTGCACAAAAGCTTTTATGTAATTATACAAATCACCCCTACTACCAATTAATCATACCAAGTCCTCAAGAAAAAAACGTCTTTCAAGATAAATAAATTTCTCTAAGACACCAACTAAATGCCAGGATTAAAAACCTAGGATATCACAAAAGGGGTCACCATTGCCTTCCAACAATTACCTGATTCTCAAAGACGGATCTATTGATTACATCATATTCAAGGATACTTTGGCTATCCACTCATTTGAGTCGAAAGACTCTGGCGCGTCTCTTTTACAAATTTAGAGTCAAACATATATATATATATATTAAAATATTAAAGATCAAGCAAAGCACACACACCCACAATAATATTATCTCTAACAGGCTCAAACACTCAACCTTTCCAAACCATCTGGACTAACGCCCATTGGTACCGATGAATATTGGACCACACTAAAATATCAGAATTGCTTTGATGCCAAATGAATTCCCAGTCCAGTTTTAAGCTTGATTCCAATAATTCTGCAGATAAAAATGAATCCAAAATAAAATATTTGGAAATCGCAGCAACCCATGAATGTTTGTATTAAGGTACTTAACAAGTCAGAAATATAATATTGACATTATCCACTATACAAATGGATTAACAAGAAAGATTCATAAGAATACAGAAGTTATGAACCTATTCACCGTAGATTTAAACAAAAACAAAACAAAACCAAAAACAAAAACAAAAAACAAAATCAAAGGCTATGAACCCCATAGAATCGCACAACGAGGCAAGCCTAACTTAAATGGTACGTGATAACTTCTTTATGGTCATAATTATTACTACTACATTATCCTCATTTTGATTTGAATTGTAATCCCTAATGAAAAATATAGCACCATAAATATGAGATCCAATCACAATAAATTCGATCGAGTGACGATCATGTAACACGCTCAAGTACGAAACATTGAGTTGTCATAAATGCACAAGTAAAGAGTACATGTGTTAAGTTATCGAGAAAGTAAACATTATTTCAACTAATCTTTTGCCTAAACCTGTGATTGTAACAGACGACCATTTTGTTAGGTAAAATCAATTATCATAAACGGTAAAATACCCCTTAGCGCTTGAAAACTAATCTCGACTTCACTCTTACAATATCAAAACTTGAATTTTACAGGCACATGGAGGAAACAAAATCAGCACTTGTGTTTCTAAATCCGGATGACATACAAATTTCAACAAGGAATCCATAGTTGCTGAAATAACTATTAGGGAAGTGAATCACCTAGACGATAACCTCCTTATCGTTATCATAATATGATTAACAACTTTATTCATAAAAAAAAGCCTACAACATAATTCAGATCTTCGCTTTCACAGCGCATGAGTTCTGTGCAGTGTCAAAAATCAAAATATACTAAATTGAATACTTCAATGTTCAAAATGCACTAGTAGACCTTTAGATGTTACGTGTACTGTCCATGTAATACAAATATTTGCGGACTGCAATGGGCGTCCTATGAGTACACTGTACACATAAAGGAAAGCCCTTCACATATATAATTATCTCATCAGAAAAGCAACTCACCTAATTATCATATTCTCTTTATTGGATCACAATAAAATGCATTTCTTTCCCATTCCATTTTCATCTACCGAACCGCGTCCCCTTGGTGCTCTTACAACAATTGCATGGTTGTGTCATGCCCCAATCTCTGCTCTTGCAGGTTTTATTTTGATCTACCTGAGAACCAGAAGACTTTGCACTTAGCAGCAACAATTCATTGGTATCTACAATTCCATTTTTCTAGGGACAAATTGCACTGAGGATTTCTGTTGAAACTATACTGACCTCTTCCGACATTTATGGGTTGGTAACAGATTCTCCTCCTGTTAAAGCAACAAAATTTGCTGATATCAACATATGAAAATTTCAAAACAGTGAAATAACGAAGTAACAAGTTCCCAACTAAAATGTCAGTATCATTTTTAAAGATGATGATCAATATCAGAATTATAAAAAAAGATTCAAGGTGGGTGAACTGCAATTCAAAGTTTGACAAAGAGTCGTCTTGAATATAAGAGTTAACATACAAGAGAGGAATTATGTACGTCATTTGTTTAGATGATTGATGGGATAGGTTGCATGATATTCTCTTTTAATTAAAAATATGATGCATCATAAGTAATGTAACAGAGTCCTTGAATATCTTTCACCAGATACATGTATACATATGTATTTATATATATAGGTGGTTAATTGTAAAGAAAATAAGTCAATATTATGTTAGACCTCGTGATCGGTCCACTGCATTTTCATCATCTTTTCTCTTCATTTTCATTTTCTCTATTTAAGTTTTACCATATTTTAATAATACATTGGTACAACCACTGCAACTGCTTGCTATATTTTGTCATTCCTTCAGTACTCCTGCTCCTTAAAAAATTTGTCAGCCATTGATGACAAAACTAACTGCACTAAAACAATTTAAGGTCCAATAAGCTTAATGAAAAAAAAGGTCACTTACCAGAAGGTCACACCTCAATGTCTTAGAGTCGTGCACTGATCCTATTCAAGCTTAATGTATCCGTGCTCCAAGCAGGAGCAGCATTTACTTCAGGTCCCACCCTTAGGGATGTCGCACTTGTACTAGTAACTTGAGAACAAAGGTAAGATAGTGACTGCAACCATGAAACAAGCGTCGGTTTTCGTGTAACATCATCAGATTCTGCAACCTGTGCATAGAACTCATTAAGAACCATGTTTTGGCCATCTTTCGGTAATTGTACAATCGTCTGTGCCAATAGCTTCATCAAACTTGGTAGGACCTGGAAAAAGAACTGCTCCTTAATATTTTCACTTCCAGAACTAGTATATCCTTTGTCTACAATTATCTCAAGACAATACTAGGCACATTGCTCGAGCATTGATGCATCTGCCTCCACTTGATTTCTAAAAAATTACATATAATTCTATGGAAATTATGATTGAACCAACTTTTTAAATATAAGGAGATGAGGTAAGGAGGCATGACTTTGACAAATTTATGGAGACCCAGAGAAATGAAACAAATAAAAATGCAAAAGACAAATCAGTACTTACCTGTATATCCACCAGGGAGAGAAGCCGTAAAAGCAAATCTAGAATTTTCTTACAAGGATCTAACTCTCCTTGCCAGTTCTTCCACAGATCAGCATCCTGAATCATGGCTTCACTGCAGAGATTATTAGCTTTTTCAACAAGACACTGGATACAGTAAAATATGGATGGACTTGCAGCAGGAAGATGACGAACCAAGGCAGCAACTCCAGAAGCCATTCCATCAAAAGGGGTGATCCCAGGATATCCCTACATTTACAACCAAGAATAAATTAGTACCTAATTTTCTATGATCAGACTCAAGTTTGACCAATATGGTCTTCAGTAGCTTTAGGCACCTCTAGTGATCTCTTCATGTAATAGAAAACAAGTTGCTCCTTTAGTACGACTCTCTCATCCTCGTCAGAATCATTCCCGGAAGATACAAAAGCAACAAACATCGAATGTGAAGCTCGAGCTACTTTTCCGTTCGGATGCCCCATATATCTAATTGGTTATGTAATAAGGAACCAATATTTATCATGACCTTTATGTTTATGTGAGCTTTCTAAGAAATGTAGTAGTTCAGTATAGGATACAAGAACATAGTTGGAGCTACCACCCTTCTAAATATAGGGGTAGGTAACCGTTCAATGCAAGTTGGAATAACCCGCAGATAAAACAAGATCCGAGCAATTTGCACCTCATCTTTTGACCATGTATATTCCGTTATCTGCAAGTTGGAAGAACCTACAAGACAAAATTTGAATATAACTCAAAAGCAATATATGCACAAGTATTTGGTCACAGAATGCATGACTCGGTGATCGTCCATACCTTGGGGATTTGTCAAGTCAACATAAGAAGGCATAGATTCTACGAACGAGATGCAAGCTGATTCATTCTCCTGGATACTTACGACAACTCCTCTAATTGTATCCATATATTCTGGCAAACGCACACGCCGGAAATACTCCATACAAGAAAATGAAACTAATATCTTTACCGAAATTTCCATCTGAGTTTGTTGGGTGAATTTTGAATCTAACCTGTGCTTTGAGACAGCCAGCGCAAAAACTACAACCATAAGGAAAGCAGATTCAGCAATTTTCTCTAGATCCCTGAGTAGCTCATCATGCCCGCCTTGAAGCATCAAACGTACCTGTCGATGCCCCAAATAGACATCTTGACAGTAGACCCATATAAGATTCTCCACCCTACTCTTGCTCTCTTCATCAGATGAAACATACTGATTGCAGAAAACACCAGTTATTATCCCTGCTTCCTTAAAAGTAATATGGTTCAAATGTGCTTTGACCTCATCAAGCCCCAGTTTAGCCAAATTGCCACGTGGGTATTCAAGAATCCTTGTATAAAAAGGTAGTAAGGGAAAGACTTCAGTCAACAACGCTGAAGCAAGGCATATAACCAGAGGAGCTTTGGGAGCAACAGGACCACTTCGAGCCAAAGCTAACGAAATACATTGTAGAAGAAGACTGTTTCCAGGATTATTACATGAATTAATAAAACCTCCTGTTTTAGAAATCAAGTCTCTGGATACAGTTTCAATCCGTTTCTCTGCAAAATTCCTTAATCGCCTCATTTCAATTGATACAGATTTCTTGGAAGACCTCAGTGCTCCAGCTGCAGCCATAACAATGGCAAATGGAGCATAGTATGGCTTTGAAGTCTCTAAAACCTCTCTTGTGAAAACATCAATTCTCTTGAAAGAATGTGAGTTGATGAAACTAGATACAACCCATTCAACCAAATGCAATATCATGAGCCCATGAGAAACAGTACCACAAGGCCCATCTTCCTTATCCCAAATTCCAAACAGAGAATCCAGAATTCTAATGAAATGAACACTTTCAGAAGAAGATAGAGCATACCCAATGCCTGCAAGAAAATTGACAATATGTGTTTCAGAATAGCCAATCGATTGGTAATTTTCCTCCAATAGCCTACAAAGCAACTCCAAGGAAACTGATTTGGATTTTTTGGACGCAGAAGGAACAAAAGAAAAAGCACCCAGAAGGAGAACTCCCTCGGAGAAGAAAGAATTCTTAGTAATATCTAACTGTCCAGAGAAAAGTTGAGAAAGGACCTCGACAGCAGAATCAATGACTACAGACGAGGGTCTTGAGGATTTCCTGACCCAGATATAAAGAAGCTTGAGAAAGAGAGGATATGATTCATGAGGAAGAGAAAGCTTTGGCGAGGATAGAATGGAAAGTATAAGCTTTGCCTGTGGATCTGAAACATAAAGGGACGTTTGAGAGTTAGAGAGCGTCTTTAGAGATTGGAGGTGATGCGGATTGAAATATTGATGTTGAAGGGAGTCCCTGAGATCAGCCCATGCTTGGATGATGGCTTGGGCAGATGAGGAAGAAGAATGTCTCGAGCTAATGTTGGTGCTACTGCCACTGTTGCTCCTTAGCCATTCTTCAAGGAAAAGGGTTTGAGCTTGTTTTGCCATCATCCAATTCCAAACTGCAAAAAGCCAGCAATAAACCTTGCTTCAAACAGGTAGTCTATACATGGAAAGATCAAAAAAGAAGAACAAAACCTTCCCATAATACACAATCAAGAATGAAAATTAATTGAAAGCAAGCTACAATAAAAATAACTTTAGTATTGTTGTCACATAATTGAATAATTAATGTCTGTCATTGTCGTTTTTTTATATAACTAGGAAATAAATATAGGAGAAGGTAGTATTAGCTAGGAAAGAAAAGAAAGGAATGGAGAGTGTAGTGACTCTCATTGTTTTTTTGGATAACGGAGGAGGAAAAAAGAGAGGCGATGATATTAGTAATCCTTCATCGTGTTCGGAATAGGTAGCTTGGATGAAAAAAACAAATCGATAGTTTTTTATCCTGTAAGTAGCAAGGACATAGTATAAATTCATTTGTTTAATAAAAAACAGAGGAAAACAGATAATCACTAGATCTCATATTCTTTCCTTTCAAATTCTTCCAGTTTAGAAAGAACAGCCAAAACACAATCCAAATATTGAGTTGTCCCTCCTAATTATCTCTTTTTCCTTCTCATTTTTAAACAAATACAAGATCAGATCTCCTTTCCAATTTTTTTCCTCCAACTCCCTCAACCCAATCGTAATGTTACAGCACAAATAAACAAGGAAGCATAAATATGGACACAAGACACGGGAACAACATATACGGATACATCGACATGATAAGGATACATCAATATGAGTTATCAAAAACAATAAGGATACATCGATATGACAAAACTCTTAAAAGCATATGCCCCTCCACTTCCTTTGATATTAGATTCAAAGAAGAGGAGCGCCAAAAGCTTTTTCTTTTTCTTTTCTTTTTTGTCTTGTTTTTTTTTAGCTCCAATATCAAATACCAATAATAATATATTATAATTAACATATATATGAACATTTATTTTGATTATTATATCAACAATTCCAAAATAGGATGATGAAATTACTAATTCTTCACAAATAAAGGAGCCAGATTTCATTTCATCATTCAAGCATTTTTTAACTTTAAAAAATTAAAAATTGGAAGTACACATCCAATCCAAAATACCATGTACGAAATTACTTTGAAATTGAAATTGGCACCAAAGATCATCTACCTATTTTTCAACTAAGAAATAACTTTAAAAAAATGAAAAGGTTGGGCTAGGGTGATGTTAAAGAGTACTTAAAAAAATGGGTTTGTGTTTGTTTTAAAAAAGTTTGGATGAGATTTTTTTTTTTTTTTTGATAAGTAATAATAAAATTAAAAAGGGCGTTCAATAGGGGAACACGTCCCGTGGACAAAGGAACCGGGGTTCAAGGCCCCAACGAATCCATAAAAGAAATTAAATCAACAGAAGAGGAACACGAACTTCTGTTCACATAACAAAAAAGAGTGCGAATGATAAAAAGTTTAAGTGTCGCTGTAGACAACTCCTTCCCTTCAAACATTCTACTATTTTGCTCCTTCCAGATACACCACCAAATAAAATGTGGTAAAGATCTCCAATAAGCACGAATGCTCCTACTCACACGACAACCTCTCCAAGTATGAATTAGCTCCCTAGTAGAACGTGGCATTACCCAACACATGCCAAATAGGCCAAGAATGAGATTCCAGCAATCGCGCGCTACAGAGCAATGCATTAGAAGATGATCGACTGACTCCCCATTCTGCTTACATAAACAACACCAATTAACAAGAAAATTTCCCCTTTTCCTCAGATTATCGATCGTCAGAATCTTTCCCCAAACAGCAATCCATAAAAAGAATGCCACCCTAGTGGGGACCATGGAGCACCAAATAGTCTTCCAAGGAAAATCATAGGATGCAAAATTGGACAGACAGAAAAACAAGGACCTAACTGTAAAACGCCCGTGAGAGGAGGGAATCCAATTCAAACTGTCAAAACCCCTGCCAATTCCTTCTTGCCGATACAATTGATCCAAGAAAATGCTCACCTCTTCCAACTCCCAATCCTGAAATGAACGCCAAAAATGAACATTCCACGTAATCCCACTATTATCAAGATGATAACAGTTAGCAACTATGGCATGTTTATCAACTGCAATACTATATAACCTGGGAAATGTACGACATAAAGGCTGGTTCCCACACCAAAGATCATCCCAAAAGCGGACGCAGTTACCATCCCAAACTCTGAATCTGATACGAGAGGAAAAGGCATCCCATCCTTGTCGAATGGATTTCCACGCTCCAACTCCTCCCGCAATAGAAACCGGACGTGTAGTCCAACCACCAACATCTTCCTCATACCTGCAAGACACTAATCTGCGCCAAGGACGATGTCTTTCCTTCCCGTATCTCCACAACCACTTACCCAAAAGAGCTTTATTAAAAGGGATCAATCGTCTTATACCAAGACCCCCCAACTTTATAGGCTTGCAAACTTATTCCCATCTAACAAGATGATACTTGAACTCATCTCCCCTACCTCCCCAAAGGAAATTCCTTTGAATTTGTTCGATTCTATCAGCAACGGAGCATGGAATTTGGAACAAAGAAAGAAAATAAGTGGGAAGGCTTGATAAAGTGCTCTCGATAAGAGTTACTTTACCCCCCTAAGATAAATATTGCTTCTTCCAACTAGCCAACCTCTTTGCATATCTATCAAGCACAGAATCCCAACTCCCCACTAACCTGGAAGAAACCCCTAGGGGCAATCCCAAATAAGGGATGGGAAAGGAGTTCACCCTGCACCCAAGAACTGCAGCTAAAGAAGAGATATCCTCAACATTCCCGACCGGGACAAGCACACTCTTGGCCACATTCACCTTTAACCCGGAAACTGCCTGAAAGCAAGCCAGAATGCATCTCAAGTATCTAAGTTGAGACACATCAGCATCACAGAAAACCAGAGTGTCATCTGCAAAAAGTAGATGTGAAATCTCCACCTGATTGTCAATATCTCTTCCCACCCGGAATCCTTTGATAAGACCAAGATTCTCTGCCCGTTGCATGAGTCTGCTTAAACCCTCCACAACAATTAGAAAAAGAAAAGATGACAATAATGGATCACCTTGTCTTAAACCTCGAGAACACCCGAAAAAGCCAGCTGGAGAACCATTCACAAGAATTGAGAAATTGACAGACGAAAGACAGGTCTCAATCCATGTCATCCATCTACTTCCAAACCCCATTCTTTTAAGCAAGTAGAGAAGAAAATTCCAATTGACATAATCATAAGCTTTCTCAATATCAAGTTTGCAAAGAACTCCAGGAACACCACTACGCAACCTTGAATCCACACATTCACCAGCAATAAGAACTGAATCAAGAATTTGCCGTCTTCCAACAAAGGCATTTTGGGAATCTGAAATAATCCCATCCGTAACTTCTCTCATTCTATAAGCCAGCACCTTAGCTTTGAGTTTGTAAATACAACCCAATAAGCTAATAGGACGAAAGTCCTTAATATCTGAAGCGTTTCCCTTCTTAGGGATAAGGGCAATAAATGACGCATTGAGCGATTTTTCAAAAGTTTGGATGAGATTTGAAAAATCAGAGAGAAGGGAATGAAAAATTGTGATATTGTGACCCAAATTTGGTGTCGGTCGCAATGCAACCCCGCTTATAACCCCACAACCCATCAAAAATTTTGACCCGTTTTTTGCTCATGGGTCGTGGACCCTAATTAGTCTCTTATAGCCCAATATATAAGGGCACTTAGGGTTTGGAGTGGTGTAAGAGAGAGACTCTAAAATTCTTACAGAAACAGAGTGAGGAGTTGAAAACTTGTAATCTCCAATTTTACATATATTGAAAACTTTCGCCGGATCCCAAGATCCCAACCATGGACGTATAAATCTTTAAATTCTTTGTGTGGCGTGTTACTTTTCTGTCGTGATTCTTTATTCAACTTGGGTTAGTTGTGTTTGTCATAACAAAAATAAAGGTGCAAGGGAAAGAAAAAGAACTTATAAAAATTGTCTCCTTAGAAGAGAGAGAATTCCCTTTTGGTTTGTTAAAAGGGAAGCCGTATATATATACATACATATATATATATATATATATAGAGAGAGAGAGAGAGAGAGAGCGTGTGTGTGTGTTATAGAGAGAGATAGAGATGCCAACTGCTGCTATAATGAGCCTGGCATCACCGACCACCAACACCACCACTCTCTTATCCTTCACTCGTTCCCCTTTCTCTCTCGTCCGACAAGACACACTCGTAAAGCCCATTTCTCTCTCCTAGTCTACTCACACCTAGCCAGTGTTATTAAAGGTTCAAGGCGCACGGTGAGGCACATGCCCGAGTAAAGTGAGGCGCACAATTGAAATTTTAAGCTACCATAAAAGCATTCATATCTAATAAGTCGTATCAATATTCTAAAAATAAATATCAAATATAAAAAAGTAAATCCATCAACCATATAAGCATTCAAGAACCATAAAACAAAGCACAAATTAGTTTTCTTGAAAGGCAAAACAGAATTTGTTTTTTTGAAAGGCAAAACAGAACACAAAAAGATATAAATCTATTAACCAACAAATAATAATAATAATAATAAATAAAATAAAATCAGCCAAAAAAAAAAGACGCTGAGACAAAAGAAGTAGTTGAAGAGAGAGAAGTAGTTGAAGAGAGAGAAGTAGATGAGAAGAGAGAGGAAGTGTTAATGAAGAAAAAGGAGAAAAAACTGAGCCCAAAAAAAAGAGGACAGGGAGAAGAGAACTAGACGAAGAGAGAGAAGTAAACAAATATGAGAAGAGAGGAGTAGAGGAGAAGAGAGATAAGAAGAAGAAAGAACTGACATAGCTTCATCGTTCGTCTTTGCAACTAGGGCTTCATCATTGGTCTTACAGTCTCACTCTTTCTATGTTCAGTTGACACTTTAACTCTTGGGCTTTCTTATTTGTTTATTCTTTTGAACCTTCTCTCATACGCTTAAACTTTCTTATTTGGTTACTAAGTTGCCAAAAGTACCCTTTTTGGCTTAAGAAATAGAATAATCATTTAATAAAAAAAAAGTGAGGCGTGCCCGACAAATAGGACAAGAACATCAGTGCGCCTAAGATGACAATGGGTGCTAGACCTACACCTCGAACCTAGGCGCGCCTTTAACAACATTGCACCAAACTCCACTAAGGGGCTACCAAACGCCTTCTCATACCAAATTCCATTCCTTAGCCGTCGATGACAGAGCATTTTTACAAGATGCCGAAGCGCCGGCAACTATCACGGGAAACTGATTTAAGTACTAAGGAGAAAGAAAGGGAAGGCGATGAACAACCCTAATCCTAGAAATTTGAAGGCTGAAAATAATATAAATACCTGGTCAATAGATGTTATGGTTATGCTTCTTCCTCCCCTTTTCTTTTTAACTTCTCTTTCCCTCCTCCTATTCTTCCTCCCTCTCTTTCCCGCTCTGGTCTGTTGTTGATGAGTTGATGCAAGCTTTAGAAAACGAGGGCTGATACGAAAAATGGGCTTTTCAGCCCTTTATCTATTTTACTTTAACCAAACATCTTTTAAAAATAACAAAGAGCCCCAACTTTTGAAACAATAATTAAAATCTGACCCATTGTATTGTCCTTACTGGATCTCACATTGTTCAACTACTGACTACTGTGTATGAGATGTTCTAAACCGTCAAAGAGAGAAAACTCGAGTTTCATACATCAATATGCTCTCTGGTGCCGGCAACTATTAACTGCTGCTATCGTCGATTTTCTACTGCCGGAACATAATGCACCTTGCCAACTATCTTCTCGTCACCAGCGACTTTGGTGTTCATGGAGTTCTCTTCTCGCATACAAAGCCTATCACAGCCCAAACACCGTATTCCAACCCCTGCATGAACCTTCACTAGAACCACAACACTCAGCTGATTTTTATAGAGGTAGAGAAGGGAGATCGAGAGGGAAGAAGAAGTAGTCCAGATGCTATCTGGTTGTCTCTGTTCAAGGAAAGCCCTAATTAGGCTTTTATAGTCCACTAATTCAAGGGTCCAGATTAGACCAACAAATATCCCATGGAGGCTTTCGATAAATTTAGGTACATGAAAATGCTGAGATATGATGAGTCATTAAAATAAAGCAAAATGAAATACCTATTTTCTTTTATAATTTTTTTTTTTTTTTTTTTTTTTTTTCCTGAATGGGGTGTTTTTTATGGAAGTGTTTCTTTTATAATTTTTTTTTTATAAGTAATTTTTTTCTTTTATAAATAAATATACATACATACATATATATATATATATATATATATATATATATATATATATTGTCAGTACTTATACCGAATACCACAAAAAGTTTTCAGAAAATGTTTACATAAAAAACATTTTACGTCGAAACAAACAGAGGGATATAGTTTTATCCTGTTTTACATGTTCTGGATTTGTTTAAAATGATATGCGTATTTTTAAAATTCAATGGATTCTGTACGACAATAATTTTGGAATTTTAATGATTTACTTGACTTGATATTTTATTGGATGGTCATAGGAAAATCTCAGCACTTTTTTTTCATTAAGTCAGAAAATCTTAAAACATTACCAAGCAAAAAAAATTAAGCTTCCCATAAACTGTAAAAATTGTTGAACATAAATTACTTCAACGTGTCAGCTAACAGACATATACATAAAGTTCTTTTCAATTTATTAGTTTAATTCACAACTACAATCAACACAAATAGCATTACAAAATTCCAAAAATAATTGGCTCTCTATTCATAACTTTTAGCATTAGCTGGTTGCATAACAATTACAAGGATTGCATTCTTTTCTTCCTAAAGGAATGTCAGAATCAGTAATTGAACATGTTCTTAGGCATTCATTAGTGAAGATATTTCGGAGAAAAATCATATAACAAAGAAAACTTAATTCAAAACTTGATATTAGATATAACAAGCTGAATGGTTAAAAATTTTCACAGAGAATTGGATGCGACATATAACATGACAAACGAATAACATAACAAAATGAATGAAGCCACATTTTTTTTGTCATTAATCCATGTAATACTTGATTTCAAAAAAACTAACTAAAGCATAATTTCATATACATATTACATAATTTGGTTGGGTCTGACAACAAGAATAATATTTCTTTTTGTATAAACACTAGCAGCCAAATCACCACAATATTCTCCATTCGACGACACCATCTTCACTAACATTAAACATATTATTGCTAGTGCAGGACCAAATATAACTAATTTGAATGTTAACTAAGCTAGTGCCTTTCATATCATCCTTGTCTATATATTATACATTAACGAATGACTAACAATGTCAGCAAACACCTCTACCTTCTAAAAAGACTCCAACCCATTTGAAATATATCATTGAAAATGACTCCACCCATTTGAAATGTATCATTGAAAATCATATAACACCGAAAATGAAAAGCATTTTAGAAAATGGTCTCACCTGTACGACCCGAAGTCCCCAAAAAATCCTGCGCAAAGCTCAAATTATTTTAAAAATCTACAAACACATAGAAAAGTGGATAAAGAATTGTTAGTGAGATGTTTTATCAAACATTTGGTAGGCAAGAAAAAAATGAGGTATACTCACAGGTTCAAATAGATATGAAATGGATAAGAAACTTAGCAGAAACTTCGGTGGTCTATAGTGATGAAGAAGTAACTGAAGAAAGTTGTGAGCGCAAACAAGTCCGGTCGTCAAAGTGATTGCAAGCGAAGATTGAGCGAGTCGGTTCGTCGTCGGTCTATCACATAGATTGAGATGGAGAGATGAGAAGTGTTGATTCGATCGGCGAATTGAGTAGAGAAAACGAGGGTTTGAGTTAAACACAAACTCTTCAAATCCTTTCATATATTATAGAATGAAAAATCAAATAAAGAACAAAGGCAAAAAAAACACTTTTCTTAACTGAATAACAAAAAATAAGAAGTGATATTTAACATTAAAAAATAGCTAGTTAATAAATAAAATAGCACTATCTATTGCGTGAAAAAATAAACTCATAAGCCTAATAAGACCAATATTTCAAACACTCCAAATTAAAATAGAAAATCATAAACTGAATTTTTTTCAAAATATTAAGTAACAACCCCCACATATATATATATATATACACACACACACACACACACACATATGTAAGAAAGTTGGCCTCTGACCACCATGAACATGACAAGGAGTCTCTAAACACCATGAACATGGCAATGAGATGATGATATATAATGTCAACACATAATATTTTCGTTAATTTTATTTAATTTAAATCGGGATATAATTATCTTTTTGCACACGGTGAAAATTGTAATATTCCAATACTCAAAGTAGGTCCATATAATTATTCGTATCTGGAGGGGAGGTAAGTGTAATTTTCCCAAAAAAGAAAAAACACATATATTTTAGTTTTAACTATTTTTTCCCCTTTAAAGTCTAAAACCTCCCTAAAACCCATTTTGGCTGTGTTTCGGGAAAAGGAGAGTGTTCAAATGGTCCTCTCTCGTCTCCTCCAAGCTAAATCGCCGTATCGTTACCTCGGAAAAGGTAAACCCAGTTCGGATAATGTGTTTCTTAACACTAATCTTGTTTTCTGGGACGTTATATTTCGTATATATTCGGTTTTAGTGGTTTTGAAATCATTTCAGGTCTTCCGAAATCTGCAAGATGGTGTTCTACTGCTTCTAATGGCGGGAATGAGAAGTCATCACAGTCCAAGACAGCGGGAGCTGCAAAGAAGTGAGTTCTTGTCAGAAATCCCATTTATTGTATGTGTTTTAATTTTTACGCATGAAGTTTAATTAACCAGAAAAAGGGTTTATTTGTGAAATTGCTGAAAAAAATTAATGGTGATTTGTACTGAACCCGCATTTCAAATAAAAATAGTGCCATTTTCTAAGTCCATGATTCTCTTTTTGTAGCATGTAAATGGGTGGTTATCAGTTTTTGTTAATTTGGGATTGAACTCTATGAGTGGGTGGTTATGTGTGGACACTGACATCCTAACCAAGAAATTATGGGTTAGTTGGTGGTTGATTCTGTGGTATTGAACCTGTTGGCATTTGGTGGGCTAACAGATGAAGAAATACCCATTAAATCAAAATTAGCTGAAACTAAACCCCTCCAACTATGGCAGTTGCAATGACAATATAAAAACAAATTTTCGTTTAAGTTTGAGTACGTTTATGTACTGAGTTTTACTTTGCATATAGGCCAACAGGATTAGTAACTTATATCTTCTGATTTGGGGGTAGGTATGCTCATACTTCAATTTTTTTTATCCCACTCGTGTTACTAGAAAGTAGAAACATGTACTGCTAGCAGTTCTCTGAGGACATAATTGCAATTGTATCGTGATATATATATTGATTAGTGATAAAGTTAACCTCACTTTTAGAATTTAAAATATACGCAACTTTTTTGGAGTATATAGTTACTTTCTTTTTCTTTATTTTATTATTTTATTATTATTATTATTATTATTATTTTTCTCTCTCTGGGCAAGATGGAAAAATTATAAATATGAACAATAAAAGTACATGCTATAAGAGAGGGTATACCATCACCAAATACAAAAAGAAGACCAAGGTCCATTACTAAACAGCGAGGACTTAAAAGGAAATGACATCAAGAAAAGCTCAATAAGTGCAAGTCTTTGATTTGCAGGCCAGAGATGTGAAGAACCTCCCAGCAGACTTGTTTTGCAACCTCATCTGCAGCTCTAGACTTCCCATCATGTAATCTAAGTACACGAATAGTTTAGAGATTGGAAAATAATTGAAAGGCACTTTGACTGTGAAATTACTACGAGGAAGTTCTTGAAAATTAATTACTACTTTTTCAAATAGGAATAGGAAGAAAAGAGTCGTCATCTAAGCATTCTTTAAAAAAAAAAAAAAAGGGGTTAGTATTCCTCATTCTATATGTGTGCACACGTCATATATATCTATGAATTTATTTATGTTTTAAAACCTTTGATTGACTTAGCTTACTTGCTGAGACTCAAACTTTTATAATAACAACTGCAACTTATGTACTATGACATTTGCCGGATGAACAAATATGTCACGACAAATGATATAGTGGACTTAACAGATTGAATATTACTGAAAAAGTGGATTGATTATTGTTCGAATTCATGAAAGAGAGAGAGAGAGAGAGAGAGAGAGAAATTCTGTATGTATCTTGTATATATCACTTCTAACCATTAAGCCTACATTGGCTTATATAAAGGAAAACAAATAACCTAATTATACAAGGTTACCTAATTACACAATGATCCTAACAACTATGGGTAATTACATAATGACCCAACATAAATATATATATACATAAGCATTCTAACACTTCCCCTCAAGCTGGAGAATATATATCAAATAATCCCAGCTTGGAACAGATAGTCCTTAACCGGTTATGACCCAATGCTTTGGTAAACATATCAGCTAGTTGATCTTTAGGCTTCACAAATGGAGTAGAAATGCTCCCACTTAATATTGTTTCCCGAATGAAGTGACAATCAACCTCAATATGTTTGGTCCTCTCATGAAACACAGGATTCGATGCAATGTGAACAGCTGCTTGATTATCACAGAACAATGGAGTAGGAGCTTCAATTGTTAAGCCAAGTACTTTTAGAAAATGTTGTATCCATGTCAACTCACTAGTGGTATGGGCCATTGCCCTGTACTCAGCTTCAGCACTAGATCAAGCTACCACCGTTTGCTTTTTACTTTTCCATGTAACAAGATTTTCTCCTATAAATGTGCAGTAGCCTATAGTAGATCTCCTATCTGAAGGAGAACCAACCTAGTCAGCATCTGTAAAACCTTCCACCCTGAGATGACCATTTGATTTATATAGTAACCCAAAACCTGGAACTTGCTTGAGATATCGGATAATCCGAAGAACAACAATCCAATGTGGCATTCTAGGAGCTCCCATGAACTGACTTACAACACTAACTGCATATGAAATATCAGATCGAGTGATAGTGAGATAAATTAATTTCCTAACAAGGCGACGAAATCTGCCCGGGTCATTAAATAGATCACCCTCACAGACACAAGTTTTGTATTTGAATCCATAGGAGCATCAAATGGACGACCACCTAACATACCCGTGTCTTCTAGCAAGTCCAACACATATTTGCGTTGAAATAAAATTATACCCTTTTTGGATCTAGCAACTTCAATACCCAAGAAGTACCTAAGTTTACCCAAGTCTTTAGTGTGGAATCGATTTTGCAGAAACAACTTCAACTTCGCAATGCCTTCAGAATCATCACCTGTGATCACAATATCATCTACATACACCACAAGAAAAATGAAGCCAGCTTTAGTGCACAGGTGAAATACCGAATGATAGGTCTGGCATCTGTTAAGGCCAAATTCTAATGCCGCCTCAGAGAATTTTCCAAACCAAGCCCGTGGGGATTGTTTCAATCCATACAGGGCCTTTTTAAGGCGACAAACAATGTGACGATACTTCCCCTGAGCAACAAACCCAGGTGGTTGCTCCGTATAAACTTCTTCAACCAAGTCACCATGTAAGAAGGCATTTTTGACATCCAATTGAAACAACGGCCAGTTACAATTGGCAGCAAAGGAAATAAGTACCCGAATAGAAGAAATCTTAGCAACAGAGGAAAAAGTCTCATCATAATCAACACCATAAGTTTGAGTGTACCCTTTTGCCACGAGACGAGCCTTCAACCACTCAATAGACCCATCATGAAGGTATTTAACTATATAGACCCACTTACAACCAACCGTTTTGGAGCCCGGAGGTAAGGGAACAAGATCCCATGTTCGATTACGGTGAAGGGCATCCATTTGATCTACCATGGCCTGTCGCCAACCCGAATCAGAGAGAGCATCTTGCAAAGTCTTGGGAACAACAGTAGCAGACACTCTGGATAAAAAAACAAGATAAAGAGGATGAAATATGACAGTAGGAGACAAAGTTAGAAATGGGATGTGCAGTAACACACGACCGAATACCTTTACGGAGAGCAATAGGCAAATCATCAGGTAAAGGCGTCGAATCCAAAGACTCTGAAGGAGATGGAGGGAGCGAAGTAGGCGGTCGAGGTCGTCGAGTATAGACTTGCAATGGGACAACAGAGCAAGGAGGTGCGGAAGCAGGAAACGGAGAGGGAACCATTGGCATAGGTGGCTCAAAAGTAATATCGAGAGGAGTAGTAGAATAAAAAAAATAAGGGTGAGACTCAGAAAATGTGACATTAGCACTAGTGAAATAGTGTTGAAAATGAGGACTGTAACAACGATAGCCCTTCTGAGTGCGAGAATACCCAAGAAAAACACACTTAATGGCACAAGGGTCGAGTTTATCAAGACCGGGTCCAAGGTTATGGACATAACACACACATCTAAAGACCCGCGGAGTAAGATTAAACAAAGCTGAGTCGGAAAATAGAACAGAATGAGGAGATTTACCGTTTAACACTGACGAGGGCATCCGATTAATAAGATGACATGCCGTAAGAACAGCATCACTCCAAAACTGTTTGGGAACATGCATATGAAATAAAAGGGCATGACAGACTTCTAAGAGATGATGATTTTTACGTTCAGCTACTCCGTTTTGTTGCAGAGTATAAGTACAAGATGATTGATGAATGATGCCTTTAGCATGAATATAAGTCTCAAAAGGATCCGAGAAATATTCTTTGGCATTGTCAGAACGTAACTTTTATGGAACACCCAAATTGAGTTTTTATTTCTTTGCGAAATATTTGGAAAATAGAGAACAACTCAGAACGATTTTTCATTAAAAACAACTAAGTCATCCTTGAATGATCATCCACAAAAGTCACAAAATAACGAAATCCATTAATAGAAATATGTTTTATTGGTCCCCATGCATCTGAATGAACTAACTGAAAAGGACTAGCAACACGATTATTATCTCTCGGTTTGAAAGATACACGACAATGCTTACTAAGCTGACATATTTCACAAGACATGGACTCAATACGACTAAGACCGAGGACTTGACGCTGCAAAACTGATAATGATGGGTGGCCGAGACGACGGTGCCACTGGAAAGAAGACAAAGATGATTGAAGAGCCATGGGAGATGGTGCAAGATTGAAGTAATACAAGCCACCTACTTCATGTCCTGTACCAATCCTCTTCTTCGTCTTGAGATCCTGAAAAAGACAACATATGGGATAAAATGTAATGGAACAGTTAAGAGATTTAGTAAGCTTACTAATGGACAACAAATTAAAAGGGAATTGAGGAACATATAACACAGAGGAGAGGGACATGTAAGAGGTAAGATGAATAGTTCCCAAACCCAAAACTTTAGTTGATGATCCATTAGCAAGAGTAACACTTTGAGAGGAAGGAATAGACTGAAAATTAGATAAGAGATGAGAACTACCAATCATGTGATCGGATACGCCAGAGTCAAGAATCCAGGGACTGACTAAAGGACAAAAGATATGCAGGGGCACTACCTGATTGGGCAAGGGACCCATGGAAGATGAGGTAGAAGGCCGTTGTTAAGACAGAAACTGAGCATACTCATCGCAGGGAATTGTGACCATAGCAGTCTCAACAGCCACATGTGGAGCAGAGGGTATGGCAGAGAAAGAAGAATCCCCATCATTAGAAGTCACGTGATGTGGATAAGGAAGAAGGTGGTGGTTTCCCATGAAGATCCCAACAGTAATTGACAGTGTGATTAGTAAGACCGCAGTGAGTGCAAAGTTT